GAGAGAGAGATGGACTGAGCGAGTGTGATTACCTGCATCTGATACAGCATTCATTCTTAAGCTCAATCTCATCTTCACAATAAAACATTAGTTTCAATGTCCGCTGAGAAAAGTATTATCTTTGTCGTACTGTCTTTCATCTGTTAAGGGTGATTTCCGATGACAGCGCTGCTCAGTGTATTTGTTAACTGCGTCTTACAATCTGTTATTAAAGGTGATATATCATGAAAATCTGACTTTTCCAGGTTTTAAGTGCTATAATCAGGTCCCCGGGGCATCTACCAACCAAGGAAACGTGAAAAAGATTAGCCCAGTAACTTTGTTTTGGTAAGCCTTTTTCTGCAAGCGTCTGAGAAAACGAACGTGTCTGCTTTCGCTCCCTTGGTGACGTTGCAAAGGGATCTCATTATAATATTACCGCCCCTTAATCTGCAAGTTTACGCCCATGACACCCGATTTTTACAAAGCTCATCGGTCTGAAAAGCGAGGTGTGCTCTGATTGGCCAGCTATCCAGTGCGTTGTGATTGTCCGAATTCCTCAAGCATGTGACGGAAATGTTACGCCCCTTACCATACTGTGCCGTGTCCCGGTGCGACGAGACAAAACCAATAAAACCCATTATAAACAAGGCATTTGCTGCACTTTTCCAGTGGGGACATAATTACGGATTATAATTACTTATACCGTCTTTTTACGCGTTGCGTTGCATCGCGCCACGTAAACATAAAACCATGTCTGTATTTGTGATCGGAGAAATGACAAACAACAAGCGCTACTCTACACTGCTCAAAACTTACGTTTGAATCATCAGTGGCAAATCCTTTAAATATGAAAACGTACTTACAGGCTGTGAGTCAGCATTATTTGTCATTGTAGTCTACTCTACCAGGATCAGGAAACAGTCCACCATAAAATGCGCTGCACACATCTGAATATTTGGGCTGAACTGTTCTGGAACAGTGTTGTAAATACAACTTAACCACTGATTTCTAGTCGTGTCCTCTTTTGGAAGACCAAACAAAGTAGTTTCGCTTTCACAACAAAACACAGCGTCACACACGGCGG